AAAAGAAAAAAGGGAAAAAATAAAAATATGAAATATGAAAAAAATAAAATTGAAATTAAACTAAAAACTAAAATTGTGATAAATAATGAGAATTAAATAAATCATTTTCAAATATCAAAATTAAGAACATTTTGTCAAAATTAAAGGATAATATAAAATTAATTGGTACCACATTTAGACAGACGTTATAGGAGTGCTAAGCCTTCCATATGTGTAACCATACTCTCAAACCCCAGCTTTGTTGTCGCAAACCCAAAAATTATCTTTTAATTAATTTTAAAATGTTATTAAAATGATGAATTTTTTAGGTGGTCAGTTGGACCTAACAAAAAAAATAGTGACGACTCCCGTTGTTTTGATTTGATTTTTAAAATTCATCTAGCAATTATCAAAATCATTATAATAGCTTAACGATTCCATTGGGAATGTATTTTTTTTAGAGTTAAGTCAAAACTGATTATATGTTGTTTACTTTGATTTAATGGTATTAATTGGTATTTAATTTAATTTTCTTACTTTTTGGTTTTTTTTAAAATAACAATCGTACTAAAAGAAAAAAATCACTTTCATTTCATTTTAATTATGTCATTTATTTTATATCCTTTATTCAATATCATTTTATACTTTGTATATATTATTCTTAAAAAATTATTCAATATCCTTTATTCAATATATACTTCGTATATATTATTCGTATAACCTTTATTCAATATCTATTATACTTTGTATATATTATTCTTAAAAAATTTTGAGACATTTAAAATAGAGTTTATGATGCTATGTCCCCTAGTATAAAAGATGACATATTACATTTTATGCATGAACTCTGTACTCGAGCTTCATCCCTTTTAAGAGAGAGTAAAATATCTATGCTCTTATGAGGTGATAACCTCTACAATGGCAAGTGCAATATTCTCACACATTTTGACTCTTTTCCATCTGTAATCTATGATAGATAAGGATTAAGGTATCTTACAAGTCTTACATGGACACTAGTGACAAACACTGTAAAAACCTTCTAAGACATGCTAAACCCAAACCAAGCATATAGTAAACCTAAGAAGCCAGCCTTAAATAGAGTCATGTCAATTCTTTTTGTAGAAATTAGTCAAATTAGGACACATGAGGGAACAATTTGATACATTATTTTTTTCATTGGGATAATAACATGAAAAACTAGAAAACAAAGACATTTTTTTCGATAAAAAGCTTTTTGGGATGTTTAATTTGTGCTAATTCTCTTATGCATGTGCAAAATTTGCATTTTCAATATTCTTTTTTTTTTTCATTTCATGTTTCCATTAAAAATGTTTTTTTTTTTTAACTTTATGCTTACAAGAAAAAAGGGAAACTCTTTTAAAAAAAATTTTTTCAATAATAAAAAATATTTATTTACTTTTACAAAGTGATTATAGCTAATTCATTCTTATTTGCTAGAGAATATATATATATATATATATTGAAAATTTTCTTTTAGTCTTTCTATTTCTTCAAAAAATAAAAAATTTCTTACAAGGAATTCATCTCATCAATGAATCATGCTTATACAATCAACATAGAATTAATCTCATACATGTATCATGCTTGTACATACTTATTATAGGTGTTAATTTTATTTCCTTTATGAGAATGTCCTACTCTTGTATAAATGTCTATACATTTATCAATACAATTAAGCCTTTTCATACAACTTCATTGTTGCTTTAGAAAGAGAATGAGGAAGGAAGAAAAGAAAAAAGGAAAAAAATTTAAACTAATAGGTAACAATTGGCAAAAAAAAAAAAAAAAACCCTAATAGGAACATATCATCAACAAAACCAATTTATTGGGGACGTATAGTGCCAATGTTTATATGCCCTAAGATCTTGTTTATTCAATGTGAAATTGAAACATCTTTTCTACTCACCTTAAAGCATTTGATGTGATGTGCTCATTGTAGTTGACCCATCTTGCCTACGCCCTATAAGGCGCTTGGCATAGAGTCAACTAGCTCACCCCACACCATTTTGCAAGAAGATAATGGCTATGTGACAAGTAATATCATAGCTTAAACTATTCAATTCCATGCCAAATGCTCCAAAAACGGTAGATATGATAGGTCAGTCAATTCCATGCCAAGCGCTCCAAGAGATATCATGACATGACTTAGTTTTAACTTTTAACATTTAAGTTATAATATTTTTATTTTATTGTTACTTTGAAATATAACCATATAAGTATAATTGTATATGTACACATTATACTGTATAATCTTTTTAAATTTTGTTCATAAAAAAAATTTTAAAAATTTATTTGTTTAATGCAATTAATTTTAATACCAATTAATACTATAGTATGAAATTATTATATTTAATAATTAAAAAATATATTATATTATATTATTAGAGTAAAACATAAGGAAAAGATTTTAATTTTTAAACTTAATTAGAAAAATAATCATAAAGAAAATAGATTGAAAAGATAATTTAAAGTTATTAAATTTTAATAAATTAATAATTTATTTTATATTTATTATTTTAATTACATTAATATTTTTTGAAAGTAAAATTATTCTCAATATAATTTTGGATATTTTAAATAAGTATTTCAAGTTATTTGAAATTAAATCATTTCAAGTTTAGATTAATTTAAATTTGAATTAATTTGAATTCGATTCAATTTGAGTTTAAATCAATTTGAATTCTGATTAACTTAAAATCCAAAACATGTTAGATTTGTTAATTTTTTTTAATAAAATAAATCGGTCAAATTAGAATTTAATGATCGAATCAATTTTTCAAAATCAACTTTTGGCACCTAGAATTATTATTGTGTTTTTGCCCTCTTGCTCTTCTTTTTTACTCTACTTTTCCACTATTGGTTCTTGCAAGAACTGACTGAAATGAAGGGAAAAAAATATTAAATAGTCAAACACATTTGACGAGCATGATTTTGTAGATTATTAACCAACTAAAATAAGGTGAAGCATTGGTTTCCTTGATGTGGCTAAATTGCTTCTCTCAAAAACGCCGGATTTGGTGAAATTGCTAGGCTTGATGCGGCCAATAAATGTTACTACTTCTGACCATAAAACGGAATGCCATGGAGCATTTGGCTAGTGGCATAAGGGTGTTGGGCATTTGGAGGTTTGTCACAATTCGAGATATAACGCATTCCCTCTTATAGCTAGTGAGGTCGGTCGGGTGCGATCGAGTATGATAAGAGTAGAATAAGAAATTAGGAACTTCAAAAAAAAAAAAAAAAAGAGCGGTCAACAAGTACATTCACATTCATGAAGTAGTCGTATATAGGAACACTTAACGGAACTAAATTTACCTCATCAGTACAACAAGCGTAAGCCTCATGGTTCATGGAATTTGACAAGAGCTTCCAGGACACTAACTTGCAACCTCAAATGCAAGATGTAGTCTGCTGTATGAACAAAAGCTGATCGAGGTGCAGCCCGTGGCTGCTTGGCACAACTCTGTGGAGCTTCTGGGCCTTCCTTTGAACTGACCTGCTACACCATTGTCGCATCCGTCTCCTTGAATTCACCCCCAGCAGCCATCTCTTTCTCCCGTTGCAGCAGCATATATCTAGGCATGAATTCACCCCCATCAACAGATAAGGGAAAGTCCAAACACAAAGAAGTTTAGGGGTATCAACTCTTGACGGATCTATTTATATAAAGGGTAGAAACAAACCCACATGGGTTTAAAGAGAGTGGCCATGTGGGAGCAGAATTTTATGGGATTTATTTGGAGTTGTGGAGAGAAATTCCTGAGAAAAAGGTGGCCAAGGAAGCTAGTTGTTATGAGGGTTGGGACCAAACACTTGTGCTGAACGTTTTGGGGGTATGGTTTTTCAAGTACTAAACACGGATGTCGGACAGCTTTAGCATTGCACACATTAGCCACTAGTTTTTCCGGGGGATAAAGACAGATTTTTTTTTTTTAACAAAAAAGACTGCAATATGGTGATAGGGAAAAAAATTAAAAATATTGAAATTCAAATTTCTCACATATTAAATGTTACTTTTTAAAAATTACTATATGAATCAATTAAACTAAACTTTGAGTTTAAAGACATGAGTTTAAAGACAGATTTTCTGTCTTCACATCCACCTATTTTAACAGCTGGCCTTTGTTCTATCAAACATCATGGTCAAAAATCGGCTTGCAATCAGAATCCAGATCTTAAAATTGGATTGCATTTTGATGCTTCTGTGCTTAGAGGCAAGCGATGGCTAACATATTCACTAGTTAAATTATGGATCAAAGAACGGAAAGGAGACTAGAAATGATTTATAAAACTAAACAGGAGCTAAAGTCCTAGAAAAACATCTAAATTGCAAGAAGAGGGCTAAAAGTGGTGATAACATGGTGAGCTTGACTGTTATATTCCCTTTTAACTGTTCTAACTTCTTACAGGGATAGAATGATCATCATCATAACATGGTTTCTAAAATATAATAATGCAACTGATATTTTCAGTTATGGACATAGCAGATGCTTAACAACAATGTTTAATTGATAAACAGGCGGGCTCGACGAGAAAATAGGCATTTTTATGCCATGCCTATCCCTCTAAGGTGCATTTATATGCATCATGAAGTGAGTTTTTTTTAAACAAATACTTTAACTCTTTCCTTTTAAAAGAGAAATGAAACTTTAAGATGGTTCTGTTCTTTGGGTCTGTATGTTTATATAATGTAGGCACCATGCAGCTTATCGCCCTTGATATATGCTACTGCTGCTTCCAACCTCTCTACATGATCGTTTTGAACATCTGATTCTCACCTTATAAGAAAGCAGTTAGTTCTAACTATACATTTCCAGAAATGATACCCTACCATTGAAGTGGAGAGACCACAGCAACCATGTAGGTGCCCAGTAAATCGTTTTTCCCCCCTACTCTTGAGGGAGAAAAAAAAACAGAGATGTTCTTCCTGTTTGCTAACATATTAAACAGTGTATATTCAGATGCATCCAAAAATATAAGTAAACATATAGGCTTCTAAATTTCTCAGAATAATTCATGCACAACAGCACATTCAATTTATTTCCAAAATATATCAACTGAGGGCATTGTTTTCTTAGTATGATGCTTTTGTTCAGCATAGAGCTACAAAATATGCTTATTAAAATAAAAAATAATGATTGCAACTAAGCAAATTTGGATCATGTAAAGCAATAACACTCAAGTGTTACTGGCAAGGACCTTGGTCCTCCAATGAGTAATATGACCATTATGAGAACTACAAAAAACTGAGTCATTCAGAGTCTATCTCGATTTCCAGGGATTCTCCCCATAGTAGTATGCAGTGCCAACCATAAGAGCAACTGTAGCCCCCTGAACTACCACCCTAGCTCTCATTAGCATCTGACCCAAGCGAGAATTGCCTTGTCTAAAACTGATTAACCCAGCAGTGAGCACTCCAGCAGTAATAAGTGCACCTGTAAAGTAAAAATATGTCAAAGATACTTAGATCAAAGTCCAAAACTATTACCCTTTCCAACTAAGAGTAAGAATATCACAGCAGGAAAATGCTATAGCAGATGAAAGAAAGAAGAAAGGAATTAGATTCTGTACTTCAGATGGCTAACAACAGCTATAAAATGTAGGAAATGCCTAAAGTAATATACGCTATCATTCTGACAAGGTAGTCAGTGAACTAGCCAAGTGGCAAAAAGACTAACAAAACAAAGAAAAAACAGCAAACAGTTTAAATACTAGATGAAGTTCACAAAGACAACAAATAGAATCCAATCGAACAAAGTACTAAATCAAGCTCTTAGGTTGCTAAATTCTTAAGGGGGATCGTTGGGTCCAAATAGAAATAGGTTTCTTCCAGGCTGGATAAAAGTTGGATTTAAGCACCCATCCCAGTATAAACCTTCCAAGATGGTTAGATATTAAATTAAATCAAATCCTCGGCAAAAGGCATGGAGTTTGTAATATAGAAAATGCAAGGTAGGTTTTTGATTAAGTTTTGGACATAACCTTCCATGGTTCCTAATTGCTGTACACAAACTCTTCAGGCCTAGGTTTGATCAGAGTAACAACATCTCACCACAAACTGAAGCAAAGGTTTTAATTTTTATAAAATTCACACCACAAAATCTTCTATAAATAAATATTCAAAGACGTAAAAGTAAATTAATGACGAACAGAAGAGGAGAAATGGGAAAAATTACCAACAGGGACAAGAGGGTTCCTAACGCGCTTCTTCTCCTCCAACAATTCTTCCAAACTGGGTTCCACCGCACTCATTTTCTCCTTCTTCCTCCTCTTTGCGGCGATTTAGCAGCTATATTTTTTGAGGAGCCGAGAAAATGGACACGGAACCAAACCAAAACCAAAATGAAAAGAATTGGGTAACGAAGAAAATATGGGTTTTGAGCACCAATGAGCTCGAAACAACAGAGTGGTGCGTGCAATGGTGAGCCCATGGAGTTTAGTCGGCCATGGTTTTTGGGCCCGTGGGTAAAACACGTTTTGGTCCTTTTCTCATTTTACCCTTTCTATCTATTCTTTTTTTTTTCTTTTTTTTTTTCTAAATTTATAAAAGAAAATGTTATAATTTAGACTAATTTGAGAAACATATTAATTATTATATACATTTGGTCAATTAAAATTTATTTTTAAAAATTGAGTAAAATAAGTTTAAGTTATCTTAGATTAAATCTTACTAATATGATAGATATAAATAAGAAGATACTTACAAATTAATAAAGTAATTCTCGTTTTTGTTTTATTTGAACTACTTCTTATTATTTAATCCCTTAATTTTCACTTCATTTTGTTGATTTTTTAATATTTAATTTTTACTTATATTTATCTTTTATCATTTATTTTTTATGTTATTTATTTTAAAAAAATAAATAACAAATAACAAAAAATCAATGAAATCTTAATTAATATAAAAAACAAATACTTCACTAGAGATTACCAGATTAAAACATTTAAAGGAGCCAATTTTTCATGCTAGTACTTAGAATTGAAATTGGACAAGTCGGTTTCGGTTTAAGTTTAGTTATTTTGGGTAGAATCATTTAAGGTTAAAAAAAAATTTTCATGTCATTTTAGGTTGAAATTATTTTGAGTCGTTCAAGTTTGACTCATCAAGTAGGTTATTCGGTTCCACTTATCCGGATCAAGTCATTTTAGGTCTAAATTGATTAGTTTTAAAATTAAATCAATTTAATTTTGGATTAATATTTTAAATTGTTTTAGTTTAGATTATTTCAAATTTAAGTTCAATTACACTATTTTAAATTGTAAACTTTATTTAATCAAATCAGATTAGATCAAAATTAACTTTGATTGTAATAAGTGAAATTTTCAAGTTCGAATAAGATTTGGAAGTTCTAATAATACTTCCAAGATGATATATTTTTTTAGTTAATTACATTTTTTGTACTTGAATTTTTAAAATATATATAAATTGGTATCTAAAAAAATAAAATGTACAATTTTCACCTTGAATTATCAAATAATTAAATTTGACGATTCGTGTATTTATATCGTGTAAAATATTAAAATTTATAAATTTATATTATGTTTTAGACGAAAATTTTGTATCACAATTTGTGTTCTACACGAAAACATGAAATATATTTTTTTAGTTTTGTTAAACCCATATATAATTCTTACAAAAATTTTAAGTCATGTCACTTTTGTGTTTTATTTTCGTATCATGTTCATGTCGTGTCATAGTATCGTATTTTTAATTATTAGGCCTACGAATAATATATCATTTTAATCCAAATTCTAATATTATTAACTTGTTTATATGATCTCTAACTAGTATAATTTTATTATATGCATATTATATGTTAAATAATTTATTGATACTAAATATTTTTTTTGATATAAATAAAAAATATATTTTTTAATATATATTAAAAAAATGTTAATAGTAAGTGTGGTGAATATTTGTCAAATTATAATTTGAAAACTTTGTGAAATTGTAATTTATATAACTTGATAATATTTGTCAAATATCACATACATAAGCTTATCTTATTAGCGTAATAAGAATTTAGATTAATACGGTACATAATTTAAAAATTTATGAAACAAATTATATATTATTTGAAAATTTAGAATGCAAATTGTATATTTTACTTTTTAAAAATATTAATTTACATATTTTTTTTAAAATTTAAGTATCAAAAGTGTAATTAAATTTTTTCTAATTAAACTCTAATTGTAAAATCATCAAATGCATATTCATGAAACCCTAAGGCCTAAAAAGAAAAGCACTAAGCATAGCCCTAATGAAATCAACTTAGCATGCAAGATATATATCATAAAAGAACTTCAAATTTTTTTTTCTCAAGTTTATTTAGTAACCCAAAAATTAAAAAGTGAAAACCTCTAATATTGTCCCCTATGATGGACCATTGCCATTAGGAATGCAATGGCCCAAGAAAATCATTGCAGCTGCAACAATCAAACTAAAAGCACAAGCATTCTTGCAATAAAAAAACATGCTTAAATATTGAACAAAGATGACTACAACTTTTCTTAAACAGTTGTTTAACTTTTCTTCCTTGTGGTAATTATATTTTTCTTCCTTTGTGGGCAACCCCTTCTTTTATTATGTTTACTTAATCTTTACTTATACCTTCCACCATCCTTTTTGAAGCCTGCTATAATTCTAGTTGGCGCCTCCATTTTTTCTTGCTTTAGATCTGCTTTTTTTCTCAACTTTTGCATATTTAGTGGGATAGCCAACCCACCTAGACTTTTCCTCATCTTCCTCTCTCTTTTTTCATATTTTCTTTATTCTATTTTCATTTCACATTTCCACCACACCCTATTTGTTTTTTTATTTTTTTTTTTAATTTTTTTATTAATGAAAACATTATGTAGTTCGAACTTAAGATTTGATTCAATTATTTCATACAATTATTTTTAAAAAATAACATCCAATAAATTTAAATTTTAAATTCTTAAATCTGTAGTCTTTTATCCTATATTTAGACTACGACTTTATTTAACTAAAAGATTATAAGATTCTTTTGGTTTCCATTAAAGTTGAAACAAATGTATTTATTTTTAATTACATTTGATTTTAGACTATTCAATAAAAATTAACTCATTTCCTTCTATAATCCATCTCATCTTAAAATTTGAATTTAAAAATTTAAATTTTAATGCTAAAGTTTTCAATTTTTCTAAAAGTTGAAATAAGTAATTTTTTACTTTTATATTTTCTTTAGCTTTCAAGTATACTTATTTTCAAGTAAGTTTGACAATTTAAAATATGATATTGTGACATATATAAATACGATACAAAATAGAATACGAAAGTAACATGATTTAAAATTTTAATAATAAATAAAATAAAAAATATATATTTTATGTTTTCGTATCGATACAAATTATGACATATATTTTTTGTGTAAAAATTATACAAATACATAAATTTTAATATTTTACATAAAATAAATACACGAATTATTAGATTTACTTTCAAGCAAATTCTATAAATTAAATAGGACATAATTTAATAACTAAAATATGAAGAAACCAATGAGAGGAGTTACTTCCTCATGTTTGTCCCTTCTATTGTCTATTTCTTCTTCCTTCAAAAACACATTTGCATGAGGAATTATATCTAATATGTTGTTTGGTATTTGAAATAAATGAGTTTTTCATATATTTAATAGAAAAGGTACAATTTTAATGGTTGGAACCAAAACCAACTTGAAAGGTTTGAATTATTAGTATGTTCCTTCATGCGTCTATATTAACAACTCTTGTCTTGTGTTGTTTAATCTATCAAATTGATATAATATTAAAAAATATACTAACACCATCAATTTAATACTAGAAAACAAATAAATTAGAACTTGGGATTTTGGCGAATATTTCACTCATTTCTCTTGAAAAATATTTTTTTCGAAGATTAGATTTTAGTCCTAGAATTTTTTTTAGAACGTAAGAGATTAAGATTTATAAAAAAAAAAATTGAGGAAAAAGTTTTAAATGTTGAAGATTGAATTTCAACTTTATTAAAATTCACATGAATCATATTGAATAAACTTCATATTTTTTATGCATTTTCCTTTGAAAAAACAAACAAATTAAATTCATGTAACATTGTACATGGCTAAGTTTTTAGAAGTATCGAAATTTAACAATCCCTCGAATCAACACTAATCTAGATAAGAACCTATATATCTAAAACAAAAAAAAATGAAAAGAAAGAATTATATATTGAGGGAAAAATTAATTACTTTTAAATTGAAATAAATGAAGAATCTAATGGTCCAAGGGGAATAAATAAGGATGAAAAAAATGAGAAAATTAAAAATGGATTCAAAATTATAGTGTTTGATTCAGTTTGAATCGATTTTTTTTATTTGATTTAGATTAAATTAGGATATTAAATGTATATATTAGATTTGGATAATATTTCGGATAAAAAATAAAAATAAGAAAAACAAAATAAACTTAATTATATATTTTTATTTATTTATATATTTTTAAATTTTTTATAAAATAAAATAATTATTTTATACTTGATTTTATTTAAATATATTAAAATATTTAAAAATATTAATTTTTATAAAATTCAATTTGGATCAAATCAATTTAAAAAAAAATTTACAAAAATTTTGTTTCAAATTTATATCAAAAATTAAAAATTCATAATATTATGTATTAATTGAAATAATTGAAACATCAAATCAAATTGTTTTCAATTTGGAATAACATTAAAAATATAAACTTAGGTTAAGCGCCTATGATGTGTACAAAAATAAAATATATATTTCTTATTAATGACCTCCTTATGTCAATGGACCCTAAAACACCGAAACTCCTTTTTCTCATGAATCATTCATACCCTCAAATTTGAACAATAAAAAAATAATGCCTTTTGTGGTCCTAATATCTATAGCTCCCCCCCCCCCCCCCCTCCCCGCCCCAACCCCACCTACACTCTCTCTATTTAATATGCAGTAGGTATCTCTTCAATGTGATTCTGGGACCAATTCTTAATGTTCAAAATTATAATTAGATTGGGTAAATTTAAATACGATATAATAAAACAATAAATATACATAAATAATATATATTAAAATTTTGATAAAAAATGAGTTTTAATAAATTAAAAAATATGTTTTGTATTTAAATATATTAATACGAATTATGATATAATAAATTTTTTTATTTTATATATATTTGAGATAGAATAAATATGATATAGATATACGAGTTATCAAATTTAATTGTAATTATAATTTAAATTAAAAAATATATATTAATGTTAAAATTTTGAAATAAAAATAATTTAATTTTAGAAAAAAACTATGTTCAAAAGTCTAGGATTGTTTACATCCTTCTTAAAATAACATTTTTTTTTTTTTTTTACATAAAGACCGTAACTTCTTAAATTTGATACATGTTATAATTTTTTATATTCTAAATGTTTTCGTTCAATCATCTGATTTATGTTTTTCATGCAGTGAGAATTCTCATTTTCGATTTTGAAGAAAATATTTGTACGACTCTCTTAATTTTTTTTTTTATTAGACCTATCGCCAAAACCCATTTTTTTATACAAATAAAAGATTGTACAAACTAAATTAGCTAAATTTTCCTTAAACAACTTTTAAGACTTTCTCTTCCAAAAAATGAAAAAAAAAATTGGTGAGATAAAGAAAAACATTTTATGGTTGATGCATAGTGTTGCTTTCCTCACAATAGACAAAAAAAAAAAAGTATACTTTAAAGAAAAAAAAAATGGGGAGATAAAAAAAAATTTTATGATTGATGTAGACTTAAGAATTTAAAATATGATATAATAATATGATATTAATACGATACAAAAATATGATATGATTTAAAATTTTAGTATTAATTATATTATAAATTTAATAAAAATAAAAAAAATATATATTATATTTTTATATTGATATAAATTATAATATATAATTTTTATATAAAATAAAATATAAATATATAAAATTTAATATATTATATGATATAAATATAAATATCATCTTGTGTCTGTTGATGCATTTATAAGCGATGCTTTCCTCATAATAGAACAAAAAAAGTATACTATTTTAAAATTGACTTTAACTTCTACATCAATTATGACTAGGTATGCAATCAAATCAACATACCAAGTAGCTAAAGTCAAAGGTTATTCATAAGAAAAAATTTTTTTTTTGATAAAATGATAATATGGACTATTAGCAACGTTATTGTTAAGTATCTTAAAAGTTAAGAAAAATCTCAAATTAAAATAGCAGGGAAAACTGATAGAGCTTAATTAAATACTTTTTGGTAAAAAAATATTTATATTCAAACATTCAAAACCTAGGTGAAATATGCAATATAAAAATGTGAAAAGCCTAATTTAAGAAATAAAATTTTAGTATAATAAGGAAAAAATGATAATGTAAAATAGTTTACAAATTAATTTATGATTTAAGGCATTTGATTAATGTAATCATTTTTAAAAGTAGCATCTAATGGAGCATATTACTTATAATTATTATAATATAATTAATCAATCATAATTTAATCTTGTGTAAAATTCATAAAAAAATTATATGGAGTTCACAATTTTAAGTGTTGGACTCTAATAATGGTTTATTGTAATTGATTAATTGTAATATTGTAATAAAAGGAATTATAAGTGATAACAAATCCTAACACGTGTAATTAATTCTCTCATCCTCAAATTGTAATTTTTTTATACAAAAATAATTTATTAATAAAATTTAGAATGCTATTTATTTATTAAATATTTAAAATAAATTTTATTTATTTTATTTATGATTGGTTATGATTTTGTAGTTATAAATACGTGGGAATAAGATTTTGGGATAATTCATTAAAATTAAATTCATGGGATAAGATTATAAAAAAAAAAAAAGAGAGAAAAGTACTCAAATGATTTGGAGTAAAAAGAAAAATGACACGCGCTCACGCGCCAATCACGGGTGCGGTGTATAATGCGGTCCAGTACAAAAAATTCCGTGACTAAAATATTTTAATGAATAATCAATTTTATTATCTTTTCTAAGAAATCTCTTACTACCAACGTGAAAAAGAAAAAAAAAAAAATTAAAAGCAGAATTATTAACACGAATTAAAAATCTGATGTTAGTGCAATAAATTCACGATGTCCATCGTCAAGCCGAAAAGGCCAAAAAAAAAAAAAAAAAAAAAGGTAGTAGAGTAGCAATGGAATTGCTACAGAAGAAATGAAATGAGTGAGAATCATGTGATCCACCAGCACCACTCTTCTCTCTCAATCTCTCTTTGTCTCTAAATCCCAAAAAAAGAAAGAACAACAAAGCAAAAGACCACAAATAAATTGGCCATTTGTTGTTTTCTTCTGTATCTGCTTTGTTTTTTTGTGTGTTTCAATGGCTTCAAGTGCTTCAAGGTTTATCAAGTGTGTAACAGTTGGAGATGGAGCTGTTGGCAAGACTTGCATGCTTATTTGCTATACAAGTAACAAGTTCCCCACTGTATGTTCTTTTTCTCTCTTATTATCTCCCTGGGTATCTTAGTTTTTGTGTTCATTTTTTGTTTTCTGTTAAGGTTTTTGCAACTAAAATTTCCACTTTTTCTTAGTTTTCGTTTTGTTCCATCAAAGTTTCTAACTTTATGTTTCTCAACATGTTTTTTGCTTACTTGTTCACGGTCATGAAGAGTCTGTTCTTTTGAGTTCTTGAATTTTCTTACCTGGGGTTTTCTTGTTCTTTAATTTTATGGATTCTTTTTGTTTTACGAATCTGTGAGCTTGTTGTGCTATGCTGCAGGATTACATACCAACAGTTTTTGATAATTTCAGTGCAAACGTTGTAGTTGAAGGCACAACTGTGAACTTAGGCCTTTGGGACACGGCTGGTATCAATTCTACTTGACATTTTATTTTCTGCTTCTTCAAAACTGTGCTAAAAAAGTTTCATTTTATAGTCAGTATGGCACTGGCTTTTCTAATGGCATTTCTTTTTTTCTTTTTTTCAAGTCAAATTGGTAACTACTTTGTCTTAATTCTTAAACTTGTTTGAAGTATTGATGGCTTTTTGTAGGACAAGAGGATTACAATAGATTAAGGCCGTTGAGCTACAGAGGGGCAGATGTCTTTGTCTTAGCTTTCTCATTAGTTAGTCGAGCAAGCTACGAGAATGTACTAAAAAAGGTGAATTATCCTGGATCTTCAAGTTCTTTGAACAACTTTATGTGTTATGTTAATGCTCTGCAATTCTCTGATACACCGATTTCTTTGACAGTGGATCACTGAACTTCAACATTATGCCCCTAGTGTTCCTGTGGTTCTGGTTGGTACCAAATTGGGTGAGTGGGTAACCACATCATTACCATTTCCAAAATCAACGCATTTTCAGTCAAGTTCAATGTCGATTTGGTTCCTCATATTTTAGTTGGGTAGCATCACCAAATATCAGACTTTTCTCCCTAAATTTTTCAAATGTTGATTACCTATAGTTTAAAAGGTAATTAAATGATACGCAATTGAGCATACTTAAAAGTGGCAGTAATATTAATTCTGACCCCTTTCAGTGAATGCTGTAAGGATTTTGATTTCTGACAAGGGATATATTAATAGAGTATTTTCATAAACAAAATTTTTATTTATCAACTCTGTGCGTGTCTGAAATGAAGATTTTAGTTAGACAGTGACTGCGAAGGAAATAGAGAGTAGGCAATAAATTTAATTAAGAGGTACTGGAAGTGATACTGATTAATGTGTATAATGGGAATATTTTGTTCAAAAACTACTTGACACACTAGAAATTTAGTTTAATCGAAGTTACACTTCCTGTAAAGACGAAAGGAAGTAGGATACAGGCTGAGGCAGCTAAGACTTAAGACTTGAGAGCACAAGTAAACAGAAAATATGCCCTTGAATCTGTGAAGCTGAAGGAATTTGTTTATCAAACCTCAATAGGTGGGGACCTGACGCTGTTTTGTAATAACCTTAGGTCTGAGTTCAGGCTTGGTTGTATGAATATCGTGCGGTCATTGTGAATGATTGATCCTGGAATTAGCATTTTAAAGACAGAGCTTCTGGAGTTGATAGTTTCATCCTGTTTTGATCTAACAATGGTCATGCCCATCAGAAAACTAAATGCTAAATTTAAGGCACATAGAGATTAGAGAATAGTTGTCAATTGCATCTACAGAAGAACCCACTTACTTCACTATCAAGTTTAGAATTAGTGACCCACTTCCAGTTAAAAACTTAGCATCATCTTTTCTCCATTGGTTTTCATTCTTGGAAAAAATGAGTGTTCATAGTACATTTCCATATGCCTGATGAATTTTTCACTTTATTTCATTGTTGCATATTTTAAATTCTGCTCGACCCACAACTTCTCCTGTTAATCAACCAAATGGACAGTTTACCGCTTTCACGTACAAAATTAAAATTGTGGATTCCTGCATCTTGGAAAAAAGGGATTACTACTGCATTCATTTGAATGAACCTGCAACTTTTAAGGTGTCCTTTTGAATTGGGATTTGAATTACCCATGTCCTTCTAAAAGTGGCTTTCAAAGTTAATTTAGTACTTTAGGTAAAATTGTAATTTGTATGTGATCATTTGCTGTATAACATGCTAATGTCTATTATAAAATGGACAAATAGATCTTCGTGAGGATAAACATTATCTGGCTGATCATCCTGGCTTGCTGCCTGTTAGCACTGCACAGGTATGATTTCCACTCACTGGTGGACTATGTAGTAGATTTTATTAGTGTCTAAATACCTTAATCATCCTACTAAAGCAGGGTGAGGAACTCCGCAAACAGATTGGCGCTGCTTATTACATTGAGTGCAGCTCAAAAACTCAACAGGTATGAAAAAAGGAAAAAAAAAAAAACTTGGCATCTAGTCTCTATTAATGGCATCGGGAGACTTAGGTCTCTCAAGGACAACTCAGAGAAGCTCTTGGCAGCATTAGTTTATACAAATGAACTCATTCTTTTGAACTTGATAACTTGTTAAGTCAGTATCCATATATATGTATCATGTCATTTAATTAATAAAAAAACCCTATTTCAAACTTCTCTTTGGAGCCTCTGCATTTCAAGCTCAAATCTTGGTGTTATGCCAGTCTAAAATGGATTAATTATGCTGTTGCTTTGTAAGAATTGTGCAATTTGGTTATCTCAAAATGCGGGACATCCTTTAATTTCAAACATTTCTCTATTTCTGTGGGAAGCTTGAGTAGCATGGAATTATTTCAGTTATTATTTCCTCACTTTTGCAGAATGTAAAAGCAGTTTTTGATGCTGCAATCAAGGTTGTCATCAAGCCTCCCCAGAAACAGGAGAAGAAGAAAAAGCCAAGTCGAGGATGTCTAATGTCAGTATTTTCTTTTCTTAAAATTCTGGTGCTTGTTATCTTCTGATTGTCTGATATGTGAAATTTACTGGCCATTCTATTTTGTGTTGAGAAATTTTAGAAGCAAATGTACAAGTTTCAAGGGCAATTGTTTTACCAATGTGATGATTTCCAGTGTATTTGAATTTGTATGTAATATCTTTTGAATTTTATGGCACTTGTTAGCAAGGCTCAATCTTGAGTAGCTATTGGCCAAAAAACAATCTTGAGCAGCTTAGATATGGCATGGCTACTTTGGTCTTTACATCAACAATTGACACTAAGAATTCTCTTATAAATTGAATCTTTTTCATGTTCTACATGCTAAATACATATTTGTGCTTCTATATTCTCTCATTTGTTATAGCTATTGGAGTCATTTCTACCATTCTGTTAAATCAAATTGAAGAAAGAACACTTTCAAACTTGCTAGTACCTTAATGTAACTTGATGTGGGGTTTAACTAGTTGCATTGCATGCTTTGCTTTTGTTCCACATACTTTTTGTAGATGTCTTCGCTTTTTACTGAATATTATTACTTCACAAAATTTGCTGTCCAAAATCTGTCGTACCCTTGTATTTTCTTTAATCCAGAATCCATTAATTCCGGAGAATGATTCGATTTTCATTAAAATCGCAGAAACGTTTTCTGCGGAAGGAACCTTGCGCATCTTAAATGAAACAGATTACCTTCAACTCAAATGCTCCTGGTACGATAATTCCAATGCGTCAACTAGAGATTCTTGAAGTCATCACGATCAAGTGAGTTTACTTTGATGCAACGGTTTTAATAGATTACAAGCATAGTCCTCCCTGAAAGTCACTTTATGGTTGTTTCCGTTTCTAATCTTACAGTCTAATTATTGTAAAAGAATATATTCGGCTGCTAATTTACTATCTTGATTTCTTGTAAAGAGTCAAAGCTCAGTGGCTTCGTTACAAGTAGATAAATCTTTTAGGATGCATGAAAAAAGAAGTCTGGTTTGAGTTTTCTCTTGCAGAAAAATATCTACAGCTTTCCTAAGTATATTCTATATTCTTGTTTTGTTTTGTTTCTTGTACCGACTTGGTAGATTGTATTGTATAATTTTCCAATTATGGCATAGTCGTTTTCAGTTCAATAACCATGAAACTATGAGATGACAGTTTTTGCTGCCCTTGGAACGGCATTATTCAGGCCCCTAATTAAAGCTTAAGTGACCTGTATAAATGCCATTGGCCTTTTTTCCCCCCTTTTTTTTTGTTTTTTTAATGTGGGAAGAATGTCTGTTTAACTACTGTAGAAATTTACTTCCTGACTTTGAGACCAAATCCAAGATTACAACAAATCACTGGATATGCATTGGATGAGACTGGTGGGTCATGTTTGAGGGTAGTATGCCTCAAAATACTTGTTACACTTGTCACTGCAATACTTGACAACAATGGCTACTGAAAATGTTATAATTAGAAGTGTTGGGCATTCCTTAATCACCTGTCGTCATTTATGCCTCTATTCATTGTTCTTAATAGGTGCACCAGAAAACTAAAAGGCTGTCCCGTGTAAAATTAGACTGGTTAAAAGGAGAATGAATGCATTTTATTTAGGTAATGGTGTCGGGAGAGTACATTAATAAATGAATAAAATAAAGACAAAGCCTTGATTTTCATGGAATCGTTTGACAAGATTTTGCTCCATCAGTTTGGCTCACAAACTCTTTTTTTAAGTTACAAGCATACTAAAAGTTATATTTATATATAATTAATTAATAAATTAAAATATAATGAAATAATTAAACTTACATATATAATTAACTAACAAATTAAAGCATAATTATAATTAGATAATAAAATTTACACAGTAAAGCTGCACGATTCTCTTGGTAAATGAAGTAAGTTTTATCATTTCTTTGGTACTAAAATTTACGATTCTTTTGGTAAATGAAGTATTTTTTTGTCATTTCTTCAATGCTAAACTTTGTAAATGTTTAGCATTGAAGAAATTAGACAACCGCTCAAACACTTGGTCGTGGCGCCATTGAATGGTTTAAAAACAAGAAAAATCTACTCCTAAAGTCTTCTCTAAAGCGACAAAAAGGTGAAATTTTTTTGGTTAGATCCGAATTATAGCATATGTAGTTTTTCATTGTTTATAATCGAATTAAAAATATATATTTATATATTTTTTTATTTAAGTTTGAATTAAAACGGTAAAAAAATAATTTTTCATAAATTTATTAAATTTAATAGATTTAATAACTTTGTTTGAAACACTCCCCCCCCCCCCCCCCCCCCAAAAAAAAAAAGCTTGAAAAAACCCAATAAAAGGAATCCATGCCCAAAAAACCCATGTCGCTAAATGAAAAAAAAAAAGAAAAAAACAGCCGCCAACGTTCTTATAAGCACTTTTGGAAGTAGGGGTGACAACCCAACCCTAACCCCACCCTATAAGATTGAATGTTTTTTTTAAATCAGATTTCCAATTTTTTTTTTTTAAAATCAAACTTGAATTAGAATTAGACAAACTCACTCCAATTCGACTCAATATATAAAATAATTTTTATTATTTATTTAATTATATATTATATTATATATTTTTATATTTATTTAATGTTATATTTATATTAATCAAATAATTTTTATGTTAAAAAATTAATATTTTATTAATTTCTAATCAAATAACGATTTTATACATAAATTGAGTATAAAAAAATAATATTTTAAAGTCAGACCAAGCTAGGAATGTGCAAAAACCCAACATCTCTATATGGAAGTCCTGACACCTGCCATCAGAAGTATAAAATATCCTAAGTTTCACATAAACAGCAGGTTTTATCGAAAATTCTAATACGAGATTATCGCTTGCTATTAATAATTGTAAGAATATATATAACGAAATGGTCAATAAAAAGAAAGTTCATAAGTTCCAGAAGAACCCATAATATAAACAAGGCTAGGATTCTTAGTCTGTTAATTTGACCTGCCTACTTCGATCAAAAGAAAATATCACGCAAACACGCTTGGAAACATGATGAATGACATAGTTGCCACAGGTCATCAGGTGAGTGCAACCTCAAACATCAATGCAGTCTCAGTGCCAATACCTTGTAATAACAAGATTGATAGCAAAGTTGGCAGGAATTTAAAACTGTAGCAGATGAACTACAATTAGAGTTGATAAATTAAATAAGATTAGAATACAACATCAACCACAGCAAGTCATGCCAGATCAGAAAGGCTTCGAGTATCAAAATTCGGTGACCACTTTCATTGGGAAAAAAATTAAAAAGGGAAAAGCACAAGGCAAGAAAGATATGCACCAAAAACCAGTATGGGCACCAATTTCTAATGTCTGGGTAATATAGCGCATGATTTCCAACAGTTATAATATCTACAAAGGGAACTGATCTGCATCCAGAACAAATTCAAGGAACAAATTGCTTGAAAGCCCCGAACAGATTCTTTTACGACAGAGTTGATACAGCAAAAGGTGGGGGTCGGAGACTATGATATGAACAACATCAAATGGCTCACTTACCACCCATCCTCTAAGAGCACACAGGTTAGATGACCTCTGGAGGTTAGCCAATGCCCATCTTTGAAGAACTGAAAATAAAATAAACATAAAATTCGTCATAAAAGAAATCCATAATTCTAACATCCTTTGTCTCTCCCTTGCCACTATCAAGAGTGCACGTGGAAGTAGCAAAATGGAGGGAAGAAAAATTAAAGACCTTGCCAAAAGAAGATGAGAAGAAACATAAATGACTTACATGCTTTCATGGGTCACCAGATAGTGACATTTAAGGATTCCTATTGCCATGAAGATTGCTTGTATCCATCCCATCCTCCCTCAGGTTCCTTCCTTTTTAAAATGCCACCTGGCACCTGAAACATTCTTGCTTGCTCCTCTGCCAGGGCCTGTGAACTGGCAACAGACTGTTGCCTAGATGCAAAAGCTGTTGTCTCATCCCTTCCTTCAATGTCTGGGCCTCCAGGCCCGGCATTTAAGTCTAGACCTTGCCTTCCCCATTTCCTACCAATCTCAGCAACACTATTATTACTAACGTCTGAAAGACTAACAACGTAGGGCCTTGCGTAATGGGATGGAACAGCACCAGCAGGTCCTAAGAATGGTGAATGGACTGGAGGGAAACAAAGCCTCCCACCAGGAGCCGAATCAACATAAGTTGTTGAACCACCAGAAAAGCTGGTTGAAGGAAGAGGAAATGTTGTTCCAAAGGGGAACAACGGATATTGGAAAGGAGTCGATGGGAAAGGCACTGCTGCTGAAGATGACAACACAGGTCCCCTATAGACATCAGGATTAAAAGGGGTGGCACCGGCAGAGGGACCCAACACCCTTTGTGGCCCACCAGTTGCAACAATTGGAAAAGGCTGTTCTCTATCAGGTAAGATTGATGGAATAGCGACAGCCGAGTATGTATTCCCAGTAGGAAACCATGACGAGAAATTTGCCATCTCGGTATTGTTTATCCGCAAGCTGGAAACAGGTGGTTGAGATGGCATATTGCTGCCTGTATTCTGCTGGCTAAATAGTGATGGTTCAGCACTCACCTCATCAACGGCAGGTCCATTATTCAAATCAAAGTCCCTGTGGACACTTGCCTCACCATTATGAATACCACCTGATGATGATTTTATAGGCTGCATAGGCACATCCAGTCTACGAGCATTGCCGGTTGAGTGATTACCCAAATCGACAGGCTCATCAACTCTATTCAAATCAAGGTCAAGTGCCCCAGAGGAGCGAATAGGTGCAGAACCCATCAACCCACATGCTAAATCACGATTATTTGTAAGGTCCCGTGCACAGTCTGTGCCCTGAGCAGAACTTCGGGAAGCTAGATCCTCAAGGACTCTCTCATCAGGTACATTCAAATCAATATCCAATGGAGGACGACTTCGTTTCCCAGACCTAGCATCAGGAATGGAGGTGTTATTTGTACCCAGGGGCATATCCAGAGTCTTTCTGGAAGCTGGCCTAAACGCGCTAGTGGCTGCTGATCCTTTCCATCCAAGTGCCCCTTTAGTCCTCAGTAGGTCATCTGGGGGAACAAAGGGCCCTTTTGCAGCAGCAGTAACAGTAATCGAAGCAGGAAGGCTGCTAGACACGGAAGAAACAGGGAAAGGCAATGGGCTAATTAATTGGACAGGAGCTGAACACCCTAGTGCTGTCGAGTTATTTGGTTCCCCAAATTTCCCCTCATCCGCACTAAAGCCTTCATTCAAGTCAAATTCTACTTTTGCATCTGTTTCTGCACCACCTGTAGCAGGAGCATCTGCAGTGGTTGATGTACGTTCTTCTGCTTCATCTGCTTCTGCACCAGTCAACTTAGATCCCCTTGGCCTCATAGGTTGTTCTGTTTCCATTACTGTGGGGGATGCCTTACAAGGATATGGTCCACCACATGGTTCATTACCTTCACTACCAGCTAAATTCTCCTCCACATGCTCAACTTTCTGAGAGGTGACCGCTGAACCACAACAGATTCAATTTATCAGTTTAATTATGAATAAATATAAAATGCAAAAAAAAAAGGATAAAATAATAAGTACTTCAAATTTAATTACAACATCAATAAGAGAAGCATTACTTTCCCACTCAGGCTTTTGCTTCTCATTGTGACTGGCATGACTCCGTGCATCAGTATCAACATCCTTCTCAGCCTTTACTTCATCAACAGTTTCCAAAATCGTATCTTTAGCAGAACCAGTAGGTATTGCTTCTTTATCTGTTCCTTTGGTGGAATGTCCAATAACAGCTGGTGACTCCTGGTGAGTCAGTGAACTTCTGTCCATACCTTCAGTGACATTTTTCTTGTACTCAACATCAACTTCCATTGAAGGTACAGATGAAGATCCTTCAACCACTTCCTTCTCAACTTTTACACCTGGATCTATGACCTTATCTTCCTTTACCACAAAAGTGCTTCCCTTTTGTTTAGTATCCAAACTGCCATCATCATCCACCGCACCAGCCTCTTTCTCCATATGCTCCTTGGAATCTCCAATATCAGTAGTCTTCTCAACAGTGCTTGCAGAGGGCAAATTGACTAACGCAGCCGTTCTTACTTCCTTCAATTTAACATTTTCAAGACATTGGTCAGCAGTCTGTGGCAAACCCATACTTGATGAAGTTAAATGCTCATTGAGCTCTCCAGATTTTTCTTGAGAGGAACCAGTCCTGCTGTCCGCATTTTTAGCCCATGAATTACCAGCAACAAC